CTCTCTCCAATCTGTGACTATCACTAGATTTACAAAAATGCCATGTGAGATGGCAGTAGGTTAGATATGGTAGAATGGCTGCCTTAAAAAGTTGTAATTTTGCATTTGTTGGAATCAAGTTGCGGAGTCTCATAAGCACACCAATCCTTTGACTGGCTTTGTTACAGATAGTATTTATGTGATTATTGAAATTCAAATTTGAGTCAATTGTGACTCCGAGAAGTTGGAGAGTAGCGGTCGTGTTGATTTTCTCTTTGTTTACTAAGATAGCGCATTCTTCGATGTTATTTTCAGTTATTGTTGCTACCAATAATTAAGGCTTGGTATTTTTTTAAGGTTACCAACTAATAGATCAGATTCGTACCAGTTGGTTGCTTTTTCCGTACTGTCTCTAAGTTTGGATGTAGTAGTGGGTAGGTCATGACCTGTATGGTAAAACTGATGGTCGTCCGCATACATTGATATATCTCTAACATGATAAGATAGATCATTTTGGAATAATTATATTCCACAACAGAGGACCCAATGCGGATCCTTGAGGACAGCCTCGACTGACTAATCTGTTAGAGCTGATATTGCTTCCTAACTTTCAAAATAAAAATAACGGGTAAAAATACTCAGCGATATTACACAACAAAACGTCTAATAAGTTATTTATTATCCAACACGCCAAATTGTTATTTCAGTGCGGGCGAATTTCGCGAACATTTATTTACGGGAGTGCGTAACAGAGGTATGCGAGGTGGAACGGTGCGCTATAGAACGGAACTGGCGCGTTGTCGTGTTGCTGTTTCTATTTTCTTCAATATATGAAGAAATTTCTTGGTTGTCTAACTATTTTCTTCGTTCGATTCATCTAATAAACTTGAATCGATGTTTGCCAGCCATTCCGACCCTTCGCCGTCGGAAATATGATTTAAAATGTCTGCCATTTTTTCCTAACTTCACTCCAATTCTTCGCGTTTAAGGCGTTTCAGCGTGGATTATTATAGAAACAAAACTCTTGAAAACACTCATGGAAGTGACAGGATTTAGCGCTTTTCAAGAGCTTCTGTTTTTAAATGCCTACAATAGAAAAGAGGTACTTTCAATGCGATACGTTTTCAAAAGTCTATGCTTTTGAAACTATCCTCAAGAGTCTTCACTTCTTTCTTGGTGTGGACGCGGCCAGCTCGCCGCGTTTACCTTGAGTGAGAACTATTCAACTGTATTGCAGAGTGCTAACTTACTCAAAACTCACACCTTGTTTTGATTCGAAAAACGAGATGTGTCTAATGCATGCATTTCGGGTTTACGGCTGCAGTCAGAAATCCGAAATATGTGTAATGTCCACAATTGACAGCTCTTGTTGAGAGATCTGAATCGTTTAGGGAATTGTTGAACAACTTAGATTTTGAGTTTCGAAAATCTAAATTGACCACTAATAAAGATGTTCATACTCAATCAGCTTAACCGTTGGCTGCTTGAGATTCACTTTTGAAATCTGAAATGCGTGTGTCACATATTACGATGCTTACTTCTAAAATTTTTATTCCAGAAAATTCAGATGACAAGTTTTCTCAGATTTCCTTA